CCAAACCTACCTGAGCTTCAGTTTCCTCATGAGCAAATGGCTATGGAGAATTTATTTATTTATTTATTTATTTATTTATTTATTTATTTATTCTGTATGTGTGTTTTGAAAATATATATATATATATCAGTAGGCACACACGTGTGATATATATATCACATGTGTGCCTACTGCCAGCTGTGGTCAGAAGAGGGCACTGGATCTATGGACAGTTGTAAACTACCATATGGGTGCTAGAAACAGAACTTGGGCCTTCTGCAAGAGTAACAAATTCTCTTAACTGCTAAGCCATATTCCCAGCCCAAGTAGGGGAAATTTTAATGAGATCATATATGCACATGTGCATATAAAGTCTAGCACAGGACTTGGCATACACAGCAGGTGTTCAATAAATAACTGTTACATTAATGAATGATCATCTTCAACAATGGAAGGTCTGACGGTGATGGTGGGCTGAGAGCTCAAACTCGAGAACAGATCAAGGATGAGGCAAAGCATTCACTCGGAGCAAGCGTGAGTCACTCACTACCTGCAGCCTCGGATGGGTCACTCGCTTTCGCCTCACCTGTAAAATGGGATGGCGGTGGTCTCTTTCTTAGTGGGTTGTTCTGATGGTTCTATACATTACAAACATGTAACACAGTGCCGCAGGGTAAGAACTCAAAGGGTGATCATTATGATTACGGCTTTGTGGGTACGGTTTTATTACGTCGTAGAAAGTAATGATGAGGGTGATAGTTCTATCTATTTCAAGGGGGAAAACTCATGGCCCAGAGTGCCTGTCCACGGCCCCGGAAGAAGCCCGGGTCCGGAGTTCCTTAGGCATCTCACCTTGGAGTGCTTTGCCCCTGCGTTCCAACTCTTCTGGCAACCACTAGGAATGCTAAGTAAGGGACCCGGAACTACAACTCTCAGGAGGCGCCAGAGCAGTCCTCAATAGCAGGCATAGTGGTGCAGCGCAAGGCCGGCTGGGAATTGTAGTCCCCAGGCTCTCGGACCCCTGGTGGGCAGGCAGTACCTGGATCAGGAGGCGGAGCAGCTGCTCCTTGGAGAAGGGAATGAAGCGCTCGCGGTACTGCTGGGCCCAGTCTCGGGGCTCCGTGGGGTTCCACATCTTTCGGTACACCCCCATCCTGTTCGCCAGGGACGACAGAGCCCGGGGAGTCCCGTGGAGAGCAGGCACCAGGGACCAGACTCGGCCCTTGGCCCCCCACCAGGTCACAGGCAGCATGGCCAGCCCCCTTTCCCAGAGCCTAAACATAAGCAAATGAGGGGGTGTCAAAGGTCAGCTGGAGGGAGCGCCTCCACACGCCCCGCCCGTCAGGGCACTGTCCCTATCTAATCTCTTTTGTCCGCTTCCTTCTACACTGCACATTTAGGTGGGTGGGTTGCAGGCTGAGGTCAGAGGTCGCAGTTTGGGGCGTTCTGCAGGCCCGGGGAGCCTGTAGCGGTGCAGGTGGTCTCTGCGGCGCCCTGACAGCAAGGTGGCTCTCGGGAGTGTTGAGACTCTAGGAGAAGTTAACAGCGGGTGTGGGTCGTCCTCCCTGGGCCATGCAATTTCCCCACCCTCCCTTCCCTCACCTTAGCCGACACGCGACTGTCATTGAGCCTTCTGCGCATGTGTAGGAAGAGGTGCTGGGCCCAGAGGAGAGGCTTCAGCAAGCAATAAGACGCATGCGCAAAGCCTGGGCCTTGGAAAAAAAATTTTAAAGCGCCTTTATCGCGACTGCGCATGCTTCGCCGCTGATCTTTGTTTAGGCGATGCGCACGCGCCGAAGAAGCCCACCGGGTCGGCTCTTTCAAAGGACGAGTCCGGAGGCCGGGGCGGGGTCGCGCCCTCGAGCGCGCGCCCGGCCAACGGCGGCCCGCCCAACGTCTGTCGAGACCACGCCCTTTCCCTAGTCAAGCTCGGATAGGTGGAAGAGAAAGGGGCGGGACTTAGACGCAGCCAATCGCCCGGGGAGAACGGAAAAGGCGGGAAAAAGAGGACCCAAAAGGAAGCTGGAGGCGGCGACCCGGAGCAGGAGAGGAGGGCGGGCCAACGGAAGACCCCACCTCCCGGAGGCGAACGCCGGTCCCCGGCCCCCGGAGCATAGGTGTCCTCTCCTGCAGCGCCCCCGGGGTCTCAGCGCTGCCCGCCGACGTCCCTGCGGGGAGGCCCCTGTGCGGAGAAGGGTGCCGGTCTCTCTTCTCGGGCGGCGCCCGGCTTCCCAGACTGCACAGACCAGACCTCAGTATGAGACAGTGTGACCCCCGGAGGCAGCGGAAGCCTACGCCGGGCTCATGTTAGGGGAAACGACCCCAGTCAGGGAACAGCCCAAATAATATGCCTGGACTCCCCGTGGCCTTCTCGCTCGGGGACCCCAGCCAGCAGCCTCCTCGCCAGTGTCCCATGTCCCGGGGTCCCTAACCACTCGGGGGACCCACTGGGCCTGTCACCCCTCTTCACCCTCGTCCTGTATTCCCAATACGCAGGGCCCTCAGAACCCTCTGGCTCCTTATCAGCTCCTGAGGCCTTCAATAGTCCTTCACGTTACACTTGCAACTTCTAGGACCTGAAGCAGCCTTTTAAGCTGTGTTACCATTCCCAGAACCTGCCCATACCCTACCATCCCTTATCCCCAGCACCCCGACCACCCAGCAGTTTCTCACTCCGTATTCCTGACTACTGAAACCTGAAGCAGCCCCTTCACCCTATCGCCCTCTGTTCCTAAGGCTCCTAACAGTCCCTCGGTCCATCCATCCCCACCTTGGGAATCCTCAGTAGTACCCTTATCCTGGCTCCCACCTCTGGACACCCAGCCCTCCCTCACACCAGAGTGCTCCCCGCTCCCAGCACCCCGACTGACATTCCCGTTTGTGTTGTCTCGCGGTTGTTGAGCTCTGGGGTGGGCGTGAAGCACACAGGCAGTGGTGCCGAGAAAGCCCCCAACACCCGTGCCCCTACCTCCCAGGACACCAAAGAAGAGCAGCCAGCATGCACCTTCCCGAAAGCCTGCAGGACCTGGCCGACAGTGAGACAGTGCGTTTTCTGAGGAGACCAAAGAGCATCTCGAGGATCTGCGGAGGGGTGAGGCCCTGGGGGTCAGGACACCCTGGGGGTCAGGACACGGGAGAGATCAGGTCTCAGATCCGGGAACAAAGGGGGGGGGGCCAGACGGGCGGCAGAGGCTGAAGCCACCTCTAACTGGGTATCTGGTCATGCCTTAGCCATGTGCAACACCAGCTGAACTCATCACAAGAAAGAGCCCAACAATTTGGGCATGATTTACAAACCCCATGAGAGACTGGGAGGACTGTCATGAGTTTGAGGCCAGCTTTGGTTACAGTATAAGAAAAAGGAAAAAGTGAAAAAGAACCCTTCAAAAGAGAAGAAAAATACCCCCCTCCAAAAAAACCCGTCATTTTGATGAGTGGAATCGGAGTGTTTGAAGACTGCTTGTCCAGTGGAGTAGCCACAAGCCGCATAGCTGCTCCAATTCCAACTAATTTAATTCAGATGGGTATTCTCCGTCCAGTGTGGCCGTATTTCAGGTGCTTAGCTGCCAGGTTACCTTGTGGCTTTCCAACTGGACAGCATATATTCAGGACATTTCCATCATGCCAGAAAGTCCCACTAACCAGCATCCATGAAGGCCACACAGAAAAGAGCAGTGCCACTGCATTCTGTGAGATGCCAGGACCCACTCATTTCCACTTCTTGAGTGGGGATTAGGTCACTTAAAAAAGAAAAAGGTTCCAGGAGGTGGTGGTGCACGCCTTTAATCCCAGCACTCGGGAGACAGGCAGGCAGATCTCTGTGAGTTCGAGGCCAGCCTGGGCTACAGAGTGAGTTCCAGGAAAGGTACCAAAGCTACACAGAGAAACCTTGTCTCGAAAAACCAAAAAAAAAAATCACTACTATATTCCCAAAGATTCTGGACACTGGGAGCAAAATCCTCATTCAGCCTACTCATGCTATATAACCTTGACATTGAACCAGTCACTGCCTTTCTCTGAACATCAGTCCAAGAGTCATCTATCTATGCCTATGGGCTTAACCTGCACTTCTTTCTTCTCTCTCTCTCTCTCTCTCTTTTTCTTTTTTCTTTTGGTTGTGAGCCACCATGTGGTTGCTGGGATTGAACTCAGGACGTCTGGAAAAGCAGTCAGTGTTCTTAACTGCTGAGCCATCTCTCCAGCCCCAGCTCCTTTTCTTTTTAAAACATGTTTTAAATTATGTGACTGTATGTGCCTTTGTGAGTTTACACACACCTCATGCATGCAGGCGCTGGTGAGGCTAGAAGGTGTCAGATCATGTGGAACTGCAGTTAGAGCTGGTTGTGGGCCACCTGTTGTGGCTTCTGAGAACTGAACCCTGGGATCCTCTGCAAGCATCTTAGTTACTGTTCTATTGCTGTGAAGAGACACCATAACCAAGGCAACTCATGAAAGAAAGCATTTAATTGGGAGCTTGCTTAGAGTTTCAGAGAGTGAGTCCATGACCATCTCGGCAGGAGCATGGCAACAAGCAGGCAGGCAGGCATGGTGCTGGAGCAGTAGCTGAGAGCTTATCTGCAAGTTAGAGGCAGAAAGAGAACAAACGGGAATGGCAAGGGCTTTTGAAACCTCAAAGTCCACCCCTAGTGACACACCTCCTCCAACAAGGTCACACCTCCTAATCCTTACCAACAGTTCCACCACCCGGGGACCAAGCATTCAAATATATGAGCCTGGCCAAGGCATGGTGGCATACATTAATCCCAGCACTCAGGAGGCAGAGGCAGGAGGATCTCTGTTAGTTCAAAGCCAGCCTGGTCTACATAGCAAGTTCCAAGACAGCCAGAACTACATAGAGACCCTGTCTCCAAAAAGAACAAACAAAATCACACATATGAGCCAAAATGGGGGCATTCCCATTCAAATCATCACATGCAGTATGCTCTCTTAACCACTGAACCATCTCTCTAGTTCGTGCCCCCACACACCCTGGTTTATGTTTGGGGTGTCTTTTTGTTTGTTTCTGTTGTTTGAAACAGCATCTTAATTCCGTATCCTAGCCCAGGCTGGCCTTGAATTCACAATGGACCTCCTGTTTCAGCCTCACTGAGTGCTGGATTATAGGTATAAGCCACCATGCTCAGCCAGCCTGTACTACTACTGTTGTTTTCCCTGGACAGAACTGGTAACCCAAGCCCAGTTATGAGCTCTGATTAGGGTCATGGGAGCAGAAACCAACCCTCTGGCCTGGTTCCTCAGTGAGAGTCTCTGGGAAGCTGGCATTCTTGTCCTTCTCCATGGATTAAACTCCAGAGTCTCCCCCAGGTTCCCAATCCAGAGTACCTTCTCTCCGTCCTCTGGAACAGTCCAAAAAGGCCTGGCTTTGAGTCCTTCCTAACCTCAAAGGGACCTGCTCCCCTGTTAGCTGGGCTGCCCCAGGCATAAGCAGCAGCAGCAGCAGCAGCAGCAGTAGCACCTTACTTCCCAGAAATGCCCCTTTGGCTCAGTCGCTTACATGGCCAGCCAATCTGTGGCCTAAAGCATCTTCTCTGACCTGTGTCCTCATCTGTAACTAACCTGCTCCTGGGCAGGACTGCTGTGAAGACGAAGCAAGGCGATGCATACATGCTGACTAGCGGGGGGCTGGCAAATGCTGAGCTCTCCTTAAATAGCAAGTATTGTCACTGGAATAACTCAACTGTGAGGGAGGAGAGGGTTGGAGGAACCTGGGATGACAGGGGCTGGTGCACGCTGTCCTTCCTTGTGAGAAGAGAGGAATTATGACTGTCACACATTACTCCCTGGTGCCTTCTCTCCTCACCACAGCCTATGACAAGAACCTACTAACGTGTATGATCCAAGGGGAAACTGAGACTCCTAGACAGAGGTTGAGTGATTTGTCAAGGTCATTGCCATCAGATGAAGGAGTCAAACTCACATCCACTCACTGTCTCCAATGCCTGGAAAGGGGAAGCAAGCGTTGAGAGATCTGGGAGCCCAGCTGGTATGGCCAAGTGCAAGCAGGGGGAAAGCTGCCAGCCCTGCCAGACCTTGTGGTCAGGGACTTTGCCTGTGCTACCATCCTCCCTCCCCTTCCTCTTCCTCCCCTGGCCTGGTTCCTCAGTGGGAGTCTCTGAGCATCTGGTATTCATGTCCTCCATCTTCTTGCCAGCTGGTGTCTTAACTTATGAATCTTTGCTCCCTTCCCGGAGACAAGCCAGGGAGGGTGCAGAAAGAGGCTGGACATAGGCCTCAAGGAGACAGGATCTCCAGCTAGTTGATGCCCCTCCCCATATTTCCAGTGCCCTAGGCTCCACCATGGACAAACAGCCTTCGGGGCCTGGAAGTCAGGGCTGGACTCAAACCCCACCCTAGAGCAGCTAACATTAAGGGTCTGCTTCCTCTCCTAGGTGAGTCCTGAGGACCACCATTGTCCTGAGCCCCGCTCCCCTTCTCCACGGCATAAACACACTAGGAAACTGAGGTTTCAAGGTCTGGATGACTTGCTCAAATCCACACAGCTTTGCAGAGTCAGAAGCATGTGGCTCCCACTGTGTTGTAATGTGGTAGATTTATCACCTTGGAAAACAGAAGTGAATGAATAATGTGGTACACGGTTCCAGGGAGGTGGCTGTTCTTTCCCTGCCTCATCCTGCCGTGAGCAGTGCAAGTTATTTCCTCAAGGCTAAATCCTTAGCTCCCAGACTAGTGCTTCTCAACCTTCCTAGTGCTGTGACCCTTTAATACCATTCCTCATGTTGCGATGACCCCAACCATGAAATTATTTCATTGCTACTTCATAACTGTCATTTTGCTACCGTTATGACTCTCGTAATGTAAATATCTGATATGCAGGAAATGTTGAGAACCACTGTCCCAGACCATTTTACAGCCTTCCTTCAAGAACTTGACTATAAAGTGCTTGGCAAGAAGGGAAACTTGTTATTTTGGTTATAAAGCAATAGCCAAGAGAGAGAGAAGGGAAGACAGGACAAAGGCAGGTAATTTAGGGCTGGCCTTTTACCTCGTCCCCCACACCAAAGGACATAAAAAGAGTTACTCTCTCTCTCACACATTTATGGAGGCCTTACTGCACTCATGCAAACATACACACACCCCTGCAGAGCCTGTCCCGTGCGTTCAGATCCTATCAAAGTTTTCCTGTTTCCCTCTGCAAAGCTTCCCATTGCTTACAGTTACATCCCATCAGTCACAGATCCAGTCTCCATTCCTCAGGGCTGTGTTCTTCTACCAACCTGCTCTGTGGGCTTCTCTCTCACCCTTACCCTTTATCTAGATCATTGGCCACATGACCCCAGAGAACTTCTCCAGTCCCTGGATCTGGTCCTGGCTATCTTAGAACTCTTCCATGCTCAAAGAAATTCTAATGAGGGGCTAGAGAGATGGCTCTTGTTCTTCCAGAGGACCCAAGTTCAACTCTGAGCACCCAAATCCAAAAACCATCCTTAACTTCGGTTCCAGGGGATCTAATGCCCCCTTCTGACCCGAATGCACCAGAGA